TGTGGGCCAAAAACATGAAAAATTTCGGGAATTTCGGACGCCATTTCCCCCGCGCGACATCCGCAGAAATCCTCGCAGCATGTACGCGCGTGTGCAGCAGGCGATGGCGCAATTTGTTCTAAAAATAGAATTATTGTCCCATATCATGGGGACCACCCCAATACTTGAAATGGCGCGCGCTTACGGTCTCCGTCCCCGATTATGGCTCTTGATAAGACCCCAAAAGCCCAGGGTCTTAATTTTTCGGGTCTTGGCTTTCAGGGTCCATCACCATGTCTGTTAAATTTCCACAAAGGACGTTGAGTCCGTTTTAACAGTGCAAGTTTGTCATGTCCAACAAACTTTCTAGAATACTTATACTACAAGAATTTTTTCATATACAGTCAAAGGACCACCTTGGACATACCGGACTTCAGCGCAAAAACATCTTGACAAAACCTAAGTTCTGGTGGTCGTCAATCATCTCCACCTCCTTGCCGACTGTACAGACTGTATACAAAATTTACCTGAAAAAAAAAAGTCTGAAACCTTGCAGTAGTCCCCTCGTAAAAATTATCATTTTACTTTCGGTATTAAGGTGGCCGAACACAATTTAGATACCTGTGTTTTACTCTCCCTTTTCTCTAAAACCCTTGATCCTTTGGTCGCCAAAAATGGTAACGCGCAACACAAACGTCGGATGTTTAATAGCTAAGCTGACGTATGCCATGGCAACATAAATAAACATAAACGGGCCTTTAAAAACGGTTTTGCTTGTTTGCAGAAAATCTGTTCGTTAGAGCTTCTTTTTCATTTCCATGCAACAAGATTGTATCAATGCTTACAAGTTAACACTATTTTAATAATAGTTTAACAGATAGATCTTTAATTATTCCTTGTAAAAGGTTAACTGGAATATCTAGAATTGGCTCGTTTAAATTTCGATTTTTTTTTCAATATTCCAGTTACTTGTTTTCTAAAGTATTTTCGCGCCAATTTTCGTGAAATTCTAACGAGTGGTTTTCGAGAAATAGACGTATTTACAAGAAAGCTATTCTGCATTCAATCGCAATTTTTTTACCCAGGTGACGAACTGTTGGTAATTTTCATATTTACCGGGTGTCTTGAAAACAAAGACCCCTTAAGACTGACTCCAAAGACACCTAAGACCTGTACAACCCAGCAAATGATTCTCGTACCGCAAATAATCCCCAAATTGTACCGCAAATGATCCCGGGACCGGAACTGATTCCACCGCAAAAAGTTAGGAATGGCGTGGACTCTATGAAAAGTCTATGGATGAGTACATATTTTCTTAATTATCCTAGGTGAAGAAAAGACAAGTACCTCAGGCATAAAAGCAGCAATAAAAAACGTTTATCATACTGCGCAAAATACTAAATTGACATGTGTCGACTGCATAAATTTTTCGTTTTTTCTATTCAATTTCTCCAACCAGCAGCCTGGATCGTCGTCGGGATCTGGCCAGTAAATCGAGCAAAAGAGCACTTTCTTATTACCAAAAGTGGTCGTCTCAGCACTCACAAGTTTTAAGTCCTCTAAGTTTTCGTAGATACAACTCTATGCAGTGATAATTTTTTAACAAAGAGTTTTAGCCAAGATTTTAGAAGTGCCCCGTTTCGCAAATTACAGATTTGTATTTTTGTGACGAAACCGCGCCACAAAGGTGGGCTCTCTCTAACAAAAAAAAAAACTAAGCATAAACGAACCCGAGAAAACACGCAACAACTACCTAAGTCTACAAGCATTTATTATAACAATTACACAAAAATAACATTATACTTTAAATAGGGTAACTAACAATAATACAATAAGCTAAATAATTAACCTTAATTTATTTACAAGAATATATTAAACAAGCTAAATACTTCAGTACACTTAATATATTTACAAGAATATTCCCTAAAAAAATAGGCGTTTCCGTAGTTCAGTTCAGTTCAGTTCACCTTGCGTCTGAAGTCCTTGTCCATGAAC